CGGCGATTTCGGCTGCGAGTTCAGAGACGAAGAGAGAGAGTTGTGTTTTGAGCGAATTCTTGGACGTTGACGGCCATGTTGAGGAGGTTGTATTATTATTATTATTACTCTTTCAGGGTTGTATTGGATTTTGGAGATTGATGTTGTTGTTGTTTGTGTTGGTGGTGGGGTGAATGAAAGTGGGTTTAAAGGTGAGTTCTGTGTTGAGTGGAACACAGGCCCAGTTGGAGTTGGGGTGAGGTGCGTTTGCGAGGGTTTGACCACCATAAAAGCACAGATAATCTCATCTCAACTTTAAGCTATCACGCAGCTATATCTTTCTTAATCGGTTGATCTCCGGGGTCTGGTTTATTCATACAAAAACTCCGCATGCATCACTGGTATAATAGCACCTAATTGACAACTCGCTCCATGCTCACCATTCATTTCCCACTCATCCTGAACACCTTCCACCTCCAACACCTAAAACCAAAATCCCCTGACACCATCTTAAATTCGCAATAGGTATAACCGTCCGAGCCCAACCACATCACGTCTGGCCATTCTGCACCGTAAGAATGACAATCAGGGAGGCTAGTGTCACCGTAAACGCTATCAAGGCCACCAGCATGATGGTCCCCCTACTGGCTGGGAATTTGCCCTTGATCACCCAATTTTGACCCTGCAGGTACCTGTTATACCCGAGCAGCAAGATCAAGATGCTGACCGCCAAGAAGGCTGTCCCAAGAGGCTTGCCCATGTGTCGCAGGCGGTCGGCCTGTTTGCTATCCTCGGCCAGCGACGTGTTGAGGCGAAACAGCTGCGTTACGGCGATGCCGATTGAGGCAAACGCTAGAGACGTGCGCAGCCAGGCGAGGAACGTTCGTTCTAAACCACAACCAACAACCCGTCAGCTTGTTTCCATTTCGTTTTGTTTAGAGACACAACCGTGGAAGGAAGAACCTACCCAGCGCCAAGTGGTCCCGCGCAACACTGCCCTTATTCTCGAGCTCGACGCTCTTGAAGTAGCGCAGCGTGCGCTTCCACCCGGGCTCCTCCCGGTCCGCCCTGGGCCGTTCCCGTGGCCCGCTATCACCACCGTCCCGCCCGGGCGTCTGCGGCCCCCGGTACTGCCCTGACGATTTCCTGCTCAGCGCCGATCTCCTGCGCGCGGGGCTCGTCTCGGCCGTGCTCTGGTAGTTGAGGGTCCGCTGCCGTTCCGGCTGGGAGGTCACTACGCCGTGTCCATTGCCGTTGCGTTCTGGTAGTGAGCCCGAGCCGCAAGGGTCGCTGGCTCTGCGCGAGCGCTCGAGGAGAGGTTGGAGCTTGGGACCGACGTTGGCGGAATCGGGGTCGAGGGATTCGGCTCGTTCGCGGGCGCCCTGGAGGGAGTTGGGATTATGAAATGTTAGCTTCTTGCCATGTCTTGGGGTGAGCACGTGCTGCGTGGAGGGTGGAGGATTGGTTGGCGCGCATCATCAGCACATGATGCAGATGTGGTATGTACGAACAGTGAGGCTGAAGATGTTATTCGCCGAGGGACCGAAGATCGCAGCGGCTATGCGAGACATGCTGGCCACACTCGGGCCTGGTGTTTGTTGTCTTGTGTGCAACGATGCCGGTGCGCGGGATGGATGCGGTCGGCACGCGCCAAAGCGAGAGAAAGTGTGGGGAATGATGGATGGAATCCCTGACGAGAGTCCCAAGACTCTGGGTATTCTGGGCGCAGGTGGTCCAACTCAACAAACAAAAACTAACCTCGAGAATATCCCGAATGCGATCTTTGGAGGACTTGCGCCTGGTCAATTGCGATGTCGTGGGCCGAGAGAGAGGCGCGGGCGAGGCCGCATTTGTCGCCACAGACATGGTCTGATGATTCAGTTGTTGGTGCCAGTGCCACCGAGGCTTCACAACCAACTACACCCGATAAGAAACGAAAGGAGGTGCGATGGTGACGGTATCAGTGGCGTCAGTGCGCCGAGAGACTGCGAGCCTTGTAACAATCGACAAGAGAATGCATCACGGGGTTGTTAGCCTCGATATTGGATCTTGGCTTCAAACAGGTTGCTATCGAGAAACTGCTGTGGGAGATACAGTCGCTAGCGAAATCGCCTTCCGTTTTTTACTCTCTCATCAGTTGTCTCGGGGCCTGTTGTCGGGTCTCTTGGCGCTTACACCGTGCTTGTTCCCACCGTCAAATGTCCCCCACAGTCCAGCACAGTGTTTCACCGTCTTGCTCACTTAAACCAGGAGCAAGAAGAGCAAGCAAGATTGATTATTCAGAATTACCTGTCCCCTTGAGGTGTGGGGGTGGGCGACGCCCACCAATCTAAACATCACAGACTGTTCACAGTGGTGACGATTGGCAATTCTGAACTCGGGGTCGCCTGATGCAGCGGCACCGAGTAATGCAGCGGTACCGGGTGAAGGTCGCAACGACTCGGGGTCCCCAATATGGCGATAACTCGGCTACGTTCCAACACTATGTTCTCTGGTTTTGGGACAGTGGTGAGTTAGAAAATTCAAGAACGAGTGGCAACCTTGGTGGCAAATTCAACTTCTATAAAGCAAGCGCTTCCCCCCCACCCCTTATCTTAGGGAGAGAGAAAAAAAAATAGTTAACTCATCACGCTCTAATCTACGAAAATTCGAATTGTAAGAATGTTAGTTCACCAGACCTATGCCCTAAGACCATCATGTTCTTATACAGAGCTACGCTTGTAGGCCGATAATCCTTCGGTAGCCAAAGAAGATTCTTTCCATCTAGAGTTATCCATTCTTCATCGATATATGGAGTATAATCTAAGGACTGCTTGTTGAGAGAGGTAGATGTTAACGAGAGGCTAAGCGATCCACGATCTGTCTTCAGATGTTGGCTATCTTCTGAGAAGGCGAAGGCGCTGACCGAATAGCTATGCCCCTTGAGCGTCTGCTGGTGCGCGCCTGTCGCTGCATCCCAGAGCCGGACTGTGCGATCGTCTGAAGCCGATGCCAGCGTCTTGCCGTCCGGCGAGAAGGCGACGGCCCTGACCCAATAGATATGCCCCTTGAGCGTCTGCTGGTGCGCGCCTGTCGCTGCATCCCAGAGCCGGACTGTGCGATCGTCTGAAGCCGATGCCAGCGTCTTGCCGTCCGGCGAGAAGGCGACGGCCCTGACCCAATCGCTATGCCCCTTGAGCGTCTGCTGGTGCGCGCCTGTCGCTGCATCCCAGAGCCGGACTGTGCGATCGTCTGAAGCCGATGCCAGCGTCTTGCCGTCCGGCGAGAAGGCGACGGCCCTGACCGGATCGCTATGCCCCTTGAGCGTCTGCTGGTGCGCGCCTGTCGCTGCATCCCAGAGCCGGACTGTGAGATCGTGTGAAGCCGATGCCAGCGTCTTGCCGTCCGGCGAGAAGGACGACGGCGCTGACCCTAATCGCTATGCCCCTTGAGCGTCTGCTGGTGCGCCGCCTGTCGCTGCATCCCAGAGCCGGACTGTGCAAATCGTCTGAAAGCCGATGCCAGCGTCTTGCCGTCCGGCGAGAAGGCGACGGCGCTGACCGAATAGCTATGCCCCTTGAGCGTCTGCTGGTGCGCGCCTGTCGCTGCATCCCAGAGCCGGACTGTGCGATCGTCTGAAGCCGATGCCAGCGTCTTGCCGTCCGGCGAGAAGGCGACGGCGCTGACCCAATAGATATGCCCCCTTGAGCGTCTGCTGGTGCGCGCCTGTCGCTGCATCCCAGAGCCGGGACTGTGCGATCGTCTGAAGCCGATGCCAGCGTCTTGCCGTCCGGCGAGAAGGCGACGGCGCTGACCGAATCGCTATGCCCCTTGAGCGTCTGCTGGTGCGCGCCTGTCGCTGCATCCCAGAGCCGGACTGTGAGATCGTCTGAAGCCGATGCCAGCGTCTTGCCGTCCGGCGAGAAGGCGACGGCGCTGACCGAATCGCTATGCCCCTTGAGCGTCTGCTGGTGCGCGCCTGTCGCTGCATCCCAGAGCCGGACTGTGCGATCGTCTGAAGCCGATGCCAGCGTCTTGCCGTCCGGCGAGAAGGCGACGGCCCTGACCGAATCGCTATGCCCCTTGAGCGTCTGCTGGTGCGCGCCTGTCGCTGCATCCCAGAGGCCGGACTGTGAGATCGTGTGAAGCCCGATGCCAGCGTCCTTGCCGTCCGGCGAGAAGGCGACGGCGCTGACCCAATCGCTATGCCCCTTGAGCGTCTGCTGGTGCGCGCCTGTCGCTGCATCCCCAGAGCCGGACTGTGAGATCGTGTGAAGCCGATGCCAGCGTCTTGCCGTCCGGCGAGAAGGCGACGGCGCTGACCCGAATAGCTATGCCCCTTGAGCGTCTGCTGGTGCGCGCCTGTCGCTGCATCCCAGAGCCGGACTGTGCGATCGTCTGAAGCCGATGCCAGCGTCTTGCCGTCCGGCGAGAAGGCGACGGCCCTGACCCAATAGATATGCCCCTTGAGCGTCTGCTGGTGCGCGCCTGTCGCTGCATCCCAGAGCCGGACTGTGCGATCGTCTGAAGCCGATGCCAGCGTCTTGCCGTCCGGCGAGAAGGCGACGGCGCTGACCGAATCGCTATGCCCCTTGAGCGTCTGCTGGTGCGCGCCTGTCGCTGCATCCCAGAGCCGGACTGTGAGATCGTGTGAAGCCGATGCCAGCGTCTTGCCGTCCGGCGAGAAGGCGACGGCGCTGACCCAATCGCTATGCCCCTTGAGCGTCTGCTGGTGCGCGCCTGTCGCTGCATCCCAGAGCCGGACTGTGCGATCGTCTGAAGCCGATGCCAGCGTCTTGCCGTCCGGCGAGAAGGCGACGGCCCTGACCGAATCGCTATGCCCCTTGAGCGTCTGCTGGTGCGCGCCTGTCGCTGCATCCCAGAGCCGGACTGTGAGATCGTGTGAAGCCGATGCCAGCGTCTTGCCGTCCGGCGAGAAGGCGACGGCGCTGACCCAATCGCTATGCCCCTTGAGCGTCTGCTGGTGCGCGCCTGTCGCTGCATCCCAGAGCCGGACTGTGCGATCGTGTGAAGCTGATGCCAACGTCTTGCCGTCCGGCGAGAAGGCGACGGCCCTGACCCAATAGCTATGCCCCTCGAGCGTCTGCTGGTGCGCGTCCCAGTGGTCTCTAATACCTGCAGCCACTTTGATAAACGACAGCCTTTCCTTCCATTGCGTACATCTGACCTCGCTCATTGCTGGACTAAACACAAGTGCAGAGCCATACGTCTGTAACGGAGCCCGTTCTAGGATTGATCCGTGGCTACGGACAAACTTATCGGCATCTTCCAAGAATCCAACAAGTCGAGGACTCGTACCCGATTGCTAGAGGCGATTAGTGATGGATGTAGCAACAGCGACCATGAACATACCTGGACAACCTGCAGAAGCTTTCTCATCGATGACACCACATCTGAGAGTTTTCCGAGGAGAGACAGACTCTCGAGCCAGCAGAGGAACCGCTCCTTCAAAAATTTAAACACTGCTCCATCGTCCGTCAGAGCTTTCTTGCACTCGGGGGCGTCCCCGTTCAGGGAGAGATGGTCGGCCCAGAAGACGCAGGAGTACCGTATTGGAGCCAGCGGGTCTGGCTGGGGAGGGCTTATATCGTTTGGTTTGCAGCCGAAGTCGAGTTTGTGTATGTTTTTTTTTAGTATTGCTGACATCGCGTCCATTGAGCGCCTGCTGATGTCGACATGCCCATGGGCAACTCCGGCTGGCTGAAGCGAGCTATACTTTCTCTGCAAATAATCCTTCGCCGACTGGTGGATGATGAAGACTAGGCCTTCTCGCACAGTAAGAAATGAACCGCTCTTCTTTACGATTTTCTGGACATTTTCGGCACTGCTTGCAATTGCAGCTGGTAGTCCCGATACCACACCTAGCTCAAGTAGATGAAGCGGTCGATAAGCCAGAGTAGCTGCTGAAAGGACAAGCCGACAGAACTCAGGGTCCTTTCTTTGTTGGATCTGATCCATCATTCGGGTATACAGCTCGTCTAGGCCTTTCGGCATAGCGTCGACTACCTTTAGTACCTCCCAGCTGTCGGCTTTTTCAAGTTCCTGGATGACGAGAGTGACCCAGAGGAACGTGCCATCAGCTTTGCGGCGGAGAACGTGTCGAACGTGGTTCCGGAGCGAATGGTCTTGCAAGGACTGGAGCCGGGACACCTTGTCGTCAATGTATAGCTCGATAGCCCGGGACACGGACTCTGCATTGTGCTTCAGCTCAAGGCTCAGCGTCATCTGTGCGTCAAGCTTCAAGTGCTGTTCGATATCGGGCCTGTTCCGGCTGGACACGATCCACTTGACGCGGGGCGACGACGCACTCTGGGCGACGAGCTTCAGAAGCTGCTCTAGGCCGGTCTCGCATTCGTCAAGGGCGTCGATGATCAAGTAGGCCCTCCCAACACAGGCATCGCGCAAGATGTTGGTGAAGATCCGCGATAATGTGACCCATTGGTCGCGACCCTCGAATAATGCCCTGCCTGTAACCTTGTATTCATCCCACACATGAGAGAGAAGCAACGGCTGTTGCCTAACGAGCAGGTAGATCAGCCCCCGCAGTACGGCGGTAGCGCTGTTGATACGCGGGTCGGTGGCCTGGCAAAAAAAGTAGGACAGCAGCGTCGTAGACTTCCGGCTGAAGAAGAAATGCTTCTTGTCTGCAAGTTTTGTCCCGGCTCTCAGCTCGTCCACAATGCCGCAGAGCAGCATGGTCTTGCCCTTGCCGGGATCACCCTTGATCCAGAGCAGACGGCTTTGTTTCTCTTTACGCCATCGCAGGAAATCGTCATGGCCGAGGATCCAGCGGTATGAATCCTTGAACAGGCCGCCTTTTGTGTCCTCAATGCGCGCTTTTTCGTCGCGGGGATCAGCAATGCGCAAATGCGTCAGACAAGCATCTTGGTCTGGTTGCTGGGCTGTCAAATGTTAGCCTTATAGACCTTCTGCAGGGGGAGCCTTCCTGTATCAGTCACCGACATGGACGGTCACGTACGTATCGGGTTACTTGAAGATGAAGTTTGATTCAAAACTATCAATACGACACGTGTTAATCAAGATAACCTGTCTGGTGATTGTCACTTCGTACCAAACTTGAAGTCCCTTCCAACTGTGACAGGCCCAGCGGCCTGAAAACCCTGCCCAGACAATAATTGGCTGACTGGCTCGTTGCGACCGGGTAGCGCGCCTTGGCCGGGCGGCGCAGGCATAGCCTCGTCTAAAGGCTGCTCCGGAGTGACGTACGAGAGCAGCTCCTTGGCGGCGGCCGCGGCGGCCGCCGCGGCATAACGCTGCCAGCTGTCGTTCTTGTGAGAGTCTGCATAGTCGGAGATGCCGCGGATGACGATGCAGGAGTACTCGGTCGCGATCCCGGCCGCCTCCATCTCGAAGCAGAGTATGTCGCCTACGTCATAGGCGGTCGCGTTCCTCTTTGCCGCGCTCCTCATGACTCGATCTCCGGAAGCGATCAGTCCGTAATGCACCTCGGTGCCTGCACATGGCCGGGGCGGCCTGCTGATGGCCTTTGTCCCGTCGCAGTTCTCACATGCAGAGCGGCTCGCGACGTGGGGGTAGTCTGCGTTGAAGAGGACGTCTTGGTCGGCAGGCGGGCGTTGGTAGACGGAAAGCCGCGGTCCCTTTCGTAACATCTGGGATAAGAACTCTTTCACCTTGTTCTCAGCCGTCAGGTGGTCGCACCGCATCAGCTCGACGGCGCCCCTCAAGGTTGCCGGCGGAGGCCACAGGAACCCCTTCAACCGGAGGCCGTCCTCAGTATCCTTGCCTAAGTCGTACTGGACCACGCCGCCGTACTGGCCCTCGGGCATGCTGATCACCACGTCGCCCAGGCGGATGTCGTGTTTGTCACTGGGCACGCCGCCTCCGATGCCGACGAGAAACCGCCATTCGATGGACGGGAAGGTGCGGGCCATATTCGTAGCGACGACCGCGGCCGCGCCCTTTCCCTGGTTGCCCGGAAGGCAGGCGAGGACGACGTTGTGGCCGCTGAGCTCGCCGAGGACGTACATGTTGGAGTCACCTTGCTTGGGGGGGAGGCGGGGATGTTCGCGGTCCAGCATGTAGCGGACGGCGGCCATCTCGAAGCCGATGGCGCAGATCACCGCGACGGTGTACTCTTCGTGCCGCCTCGGGCTGTTGTTAGACGGATTCGACATCGCGTCATCGGTAGACGGCCTGTGAGGCCGGCGGAAAACTCTTGCTGGAGTCTACAGACGTCTGCTGGTGCGAGCTCGGTCGGTCGGGTTTCCAGTGCTTCGGGCTGGCATTATCATTGCGATAGTTACAGGTGCGGGGTAACGATGAGGTCGTGAATTGCCGGGCATCTTGTCGAGTTGGCTTGGGACATCCAATAGCAATGGATATCCGGCGTTGAGCTGAAAGCTGTGGCTGGCTCGCGCTGCCAATCGTGCACAGGGACTGCGGGCAACCCAATCGAGCGGGTGGACGTGGCGTGACTTTCCTCGCGGGAGCACAGGTGACACGAACCTGGATCCGTTTCAGATGCCAGCGACGGTGACAGGGCCTGTGAAACTGTGACCGCAGACGACCGGATTATTGTGACGCTGGGAAGTCTTCTCGCCTCCTTGCTTTTAGGAGCAGTCTGTGATAGTTAGATTGGTGGGCGTCGCCCACACCCACCTCAAGGAGATAGATAATTCTGAATACAATCAATTTTGCTTGCTCTTCTTCCTCTTGGTTTAGCGAGCAAGATGGTGAAGCACTGTGCTGGACTGTGCTGGACTGTGGGGGACATTTAACGGTGGGAACAAGCACGGTATAAGCGCCGAGGCTCGAAAACAGGCCCCCAAGACAATTGAAGAGAGAGTACATCTGTAAAAAGCGGAAGCCGATTTCGCTAGCGACAAGACAGCAATTTTCCTGTCCGGAGGACAATATTACGCTCAAACTTTTGGAAATTACTATGGGAAATTGATATCCTTATCGCGATGGCCGATTGGTTCGTGAGCACGCTGCACTCGATGTTGGTCACGTGCCTCATTGGCTCTGCCGAAACTGCTTCATCTCCGTGTCCTCGCAATCCGCTCGACAATCGCGAACATCGCGGTTCTCGCCGTTTCCACGTCTACCGCTTTTCAAACCCAGGCCTTTCCATGGAAGACGTGATAGTCGTTCTGGGCGGCACTGCCGAGGCCGCTGCGGAGACAGCCGTGACACGCAAGTCGTGTACCAAATGCAATACTGAGCAGAACATTGACCAGTTCCTCCATGCCCGCGGGAACGGAAGGATTGTTGTCAACTGTCTAAGTTGCCGGCACAAGAAGAAGCTTCATGTGATATCCTTAGTTAAGGTAACGATAGTCGTTTCTTCAGCTAACCTTCGCAGATTGAAGCGTCGCGAGCGAGCATCGAGATTTCTCGCGCAATCGCCCGCGGAGAAAATTCTCTTTGATGAACAAACTAATCGGAGAGAGGGACTACTCTGCGCAGGAGATCTGCCATATTCTCCTGGGACTCCCTCTCCAAGAGGATAGCCGAGTGGTCCAGAGTGTTGACTGTAGACCCCACGAGAGGCATGCTCGCCCAATCGACATCACGGCTGATGGCGATATCCAGGAGTCTCAGACAGCATACGAGAGGTATCTTCGGCGGCCTGCCTCAATGGATGACGTCTCCTACTTTGAGTTCCTGCAAGACTGGAACTTCAAGGCGCGGAATCCGGCGAGGTGGGCGATCTGGCAGCCTCCTGCGATGCCCAGGGTGTTGTATTATTACCCCCGGTACAAGCCGGTCCGTTCCCATCAGCAGTACTCTGACTTCTGCCGCGTCAAGCTGCTCCTGAACCACCCCCATCGCCAGTCGGAACAATTGCTCGAGGTTGATGATCTGCAGTTTGACAACTACACTTCCGTATATCATTACTGTCTCGAGCACCACGACCACCAGGACGACCACTACGGTACTGTCGACGAGCCCGATCCGCTGCCGGAAGAGGATGAATTCGAGCGAGGGGAGGATGCTGGGGACATCACACTTGAGGATTGGCAGGAGGTGGCCCGGCTGGTCCCCGCCCTCCAACTTCCCGAAGAACCAGCCGACTTGCTTGGACGCCGAGACATTGATGTCAATTGCGACTGGACACGACACATTGGTCGCTACTCGCACGACCAGTTTGGTACCGGAGGTTACTGGGTGCAACTCCGTGGAGACGCTCCAGGTAATTACGACGTGGAAGAGATGCCTCTCGCAGCCCGTGACACGTTGAACACGCAGCAGCAGCAGGTATACGACACGGTCATGCGCCACTACAGAGCCAAGAACGAGAACCGTCAGCCTCCGCCCCTTCGTCTACAGATCGACGGAGGGAGGTGGGACTGGAACGTCGTACATGGTGAAGGTCATCTCTTCTCATCTTCAGGCCGAGGCAGCTTCCTATGGCCGAGTTTCCCCCATTGTCAGGGCCGCCCCGACGGGCGTGGCGAGCAACCAGATAGGGGGACAGACTCTGCATTCCCTTCTGCGGCTCCCCGTCGACGGCAATTACCGCTCGCTCTCCGAGACCCCGACGACCCTCAACGCCTTGCAGCGGGGGTTCAGGGGCATCCACTACCTCGTGATTGACGAGAAGAGCATGCTCGCGCCTCAAGACCCTCGCGTGGATCGACCAGCGCCTACGAGAGGTGTTCCCGGAGAATCGTGACGAGTTCTTCGGCGGCCTCAGCGTCATCCTGATCGGGGACTTCTTCCAGCTTCCCCCTGTTCTGAACAAGCCGCTGTACTCAACACGCGACGACCTAAAGGGCATCGAGATTGTCGGGCGTAATGCTTACCTCTCATTCGACAAGTCGGTGTTTCTGACCACAATACAGCGGCAGCAGGGCGAAGACCAGGCCCCGTTTCGGCGGGCCTTGGAAGAACTGCGAAAAGCTGATGTGTCAGTACCCTCCTGGGAGCTCCTCGCTTCGAGATGCTCTGTCAAGCTCTCTCCCGAGGAGGTTGACAGCTTTGCTGATGTGCTTCGCATCTATCCCACCAAGGCCCAGGTCGTCGAGTACAACCACCAACACATGACTTGGCCTGGACAGCCCCGCCATTCAGGTCGAGGCAAAGCGATGAGGGTGTTGGTGCGGAGAAGGTTGAATCCTCAGATGCCGGCAACTTGGCCAAGCGCTTGCCCTTGTGTGTTGGTTGCAGGGTGATGCTGACGCGGAATTTGTGGGCCGACGTCGGGCTCGTCCACGGCGCACAGGGCACAGTCTACGACATATCCTGGAAAGAAGGTACCGACGTGCTGCGAGACCCGCCCGAGGTCATCATGGTGGCCTTCGATGACTACGACGGCCCGGGCTTCACGATGCCGAACGGGGAGCCTCTCCGTAGTGGAGAGAAGCTGGCTGTTCCCATCCTCCGAGTGCGGCATGACTTCATGGTCGGCGCCAACTCATGTTCAAGAGAGTAGTTCCCGCTGTTGGTCAGCTATGCGATCACCGTCCACAAATCACAGGGCATCACCCTGGACAAGGTCGTCTGCGACATCTCTGCGCCAGAGTTTGCTTCTGGCCTCTCCTACGTGGCCGTTTCGCGGGTGAAGACACTCGGCGGGCTGATGTTTGAGCGGCCCTTCGACCGCAGCAGGATCTACCGCGAGACACCATCACCAGCTATGGGGTTGAAGTTGTCCGATCACGCTACCAGGCAACTGCAGGCGTTAGATGCTGTGGCGGGGGAGGTTCCCCTCAGAGTCTAATTGATTTGTAAGTAGCGAGGACGTGAGTGTAGATACGTAACGTGAGTGGCGGAATAGAAACGATTCGTAGATGGCTCAAGCAGATGGAGTTGTTGGCCGACGGACAGATATTGGCGCTTCGTCTCTCCCGTAATTAACCCTAACCCGGATTGTCCTCCGGAGAGGGAGGAAAATTGCCAGGAGCGGGAGAGAGGAAGGAAGCGCCCCGTAGCGTAGCGAAGGGCCGTGCGACTGACGAACGAAGCGACGCCAGCAATTTTAGGATATGTATTAGTAGACACGTGATAGTTGCCCTTTCGGGTCAAGCCCGCCGGGCGGAATAAATTGTGTGGGTGTGTGTGTGTAAACACAGCCTCGGGGGCTGCACGTCATACCTAGCTTCGAGTTGGGTCGCTTTCCCTTCCCACCACTCAGTGAAACTCGAATATCGGTGGCCTCGACATCAGCCGATTGGTCAATTGAGACTGACACCACCTTCAGCTTCACGCTAACTCGCCTGTGGAGTCCAGAGGGTGGTGTGCAACCTACCTAAACAATGCCATGTGTTTGGAATCTCATTGTGCACTAAAGGTAGATATAATGTGAAACATTTCGATTTGCCCGTCACCATTATTTCCTCAAACTAGGTCAACGTTTCGGGTTTTAGTTTGCAACTGTTCACAAATTCCGAGTTGGAAGAGAAGGCAGGCATTATTGTGTGCTTCCCCTTTTGGGGCCCAACCACTCCAGTCCAGGCTTCGGAGCGGGGGCAAGTTGATGAAGGTCATCTCACTCAGAACCCCGCTGTCATTGACCTGTTCCCCTCCTCAAATCGCCCAACACTCGGATTACCAAGCTGCGGAATCTGAAAGCTACCTAGAAGGTAACACATGGAATAACAGCTGCTCTCCTGGATTTTGGGCCGTTTCGGGGTTAGTCGCTAGACGCCGCGGACATCATCACAGTGCTCAAGACCCCTAACTCCGAGCCGACTATCAACTCCTCACATATAAATCTAGTGATATGTCAACATTTTTACGAGGCCGTTGAGATTCGTCGCATATTTCGTAGCCAAGCGCATATTCGAGTGTCAGATCTCAAAAGCTCAACACCATATCACCATGGGCCACACGATTCAGGGCAAGCAGGTCGGCAACATTGGCTTCGGCCTGATAGGTAGGCCCCCAGCGATACACCTACCTAATTTTGGCGCATCGGCTTACCGTCACAGGCCTGTCAGTACCTCCCGGTAGACTCACCGAAGAAGAGGCCTTCGCCGCCATCAAAGCCGCCCTTGACGCCGGCTGTAACTACCTGAACGCCGGTGAATTCTATGGTACGCCTGACGCCAACTCACTCACCCTCCTCAACAGCTACTACGCAAAATACCCCGAGGGCAGGGACAAGGTCCTGCTCAACGTCAAGGGCTGCATCTTTGAGAACCTCACTCCGGACGACTCGCCGGCCGCCGTCAAGACCAGCGTCGAGAACAGCGTCCGGCTGATCGGCGGCAAGGGCCGCATCGACCAGTTCGAGCCCGCCCGCAAGGACCCCAAGGTTGACATCGAGACCACCCTCGCCGCGCTCCAGGAGCAGGTCGACGCCGGCAACATCGGGGGCATCTCCCTCAGCGAGGTCAGCGCCGCGACCATCCGCCGCGCTGCCAAGGTCACCAAAATCCACTCCGTCGAGGTCGAGCTCTCGTTATGGGCCACCGAGCCGCTCGAGAACGGCGTTGTCGAGGCATGCGCCGAACTCGGCATCCCCATCCTCGCATACGGTAAGATCCCACTCACCCCAACCACTCACCCAATCTCGTCCCTCCCAAATCACTAACCACTCAACCGGTCCCCAGCCCCCCTCGGCCGGGGCATGCTCACCGGGCAGCTCAAATCCCCCGCCGACATCCCCCCGGGCGACCACCGCCACACGATGCCGCGATTCCAGCCGGACGTATTCGCTCACAACCTACGCATGGCGGACGAGGTAGCCAAGCTAGCCGCGCGCAAGGGCTGCACGCCGGCGCAGGTGGCCATCGGCTGGGTGCTGGCGCTGGGGCGGCGGCCCGGCATGCCCGCCATCATCCCCATCCCGGGGGCGGGGCGTCCCGAGAGAGTAAAGGAGAATGCCGTGGAGGTGGAGCTGGGGGAGGAGGAGATGGCGGAGTTGGGGAGAATCGCGAGGGAGTACGCGCCGGTAGGGGAGAGGTATTCGGAGCATGGGATGAGGGCGTTGGATGGGAGTACGGAGTAGGGGGGGGATTGGGGGGTGGGGTGTGGGATGATGATGATTGTTATGTTGGTTTAGGAAATCAACCGTTTCGCATATGAATCTCTTTTTCATATGCTCAAAGGGGTCCGGAACTGGTCGCTCTGACAATCGAAACTCGTCCCTTTTGAACAAGGGCGAAGACAAGGAGATATCGCTATTCTGGGGAGGCCGAGGACGTGGATACCTAGGTATGGAACGCTTTTAGTTTAGAGTCGAGTTGCTGACCGAGCAAAGTATAGGTGGTGGGTTACGTGCTGAGACTTTTGATAATGATTGAGAATGCTAAGGATCGTTGACACTTAGTACCAAGGCTGCGTGTTCAGTTCTGCTTTCCGACTCGTATTGCTGTGGTGTGAATCTTATGTCGCCTCGTCTATGATTCTACAGCACGGAGAAGGGAAGAGAGCATGTGAGATAGTAGATCATAGCGCAACTGAGTTCAACCAAGCTAAGGTACAAAATAAACCTGATTTCATGAGCCAAAGAAAAGAAAGTAAATAGAGTGTAACAGAGGAAAATGAGGTAAAACTAGACTAGTAAAAAAACAGAAGTAGCTCGGGCGAGTTGATAAAGACTTAGACAGGGTCAGAGCCCCAGTCATGGCCGTGTCATCCAAGCTGTGAGCGTTTAGCACCCAGTGCTTCAAGGGCCACCCGGCCACTTGTCGGATTTATCAATATACCGATCGCCGATATTACGGACGTACTGCCGGCTGAACACGCAGTAGAAGTTAACCGCCCCGGTTGTTGGTGTTGGGCGACCACATGACGAAAGGACCACCGCTCTCCTGGAAACCGCTACACTAGTTGTAATCTCCGTTTTAAACTATGTAGGCGGTTTGCCCCATCTTCTTCCAGACGGCAAAATAGTCGTATGCCTTGCCCTCGCAAGTGTATTGATTCCCCGTCTCGATGGACGACTCCACAGCAAACCCACCACTGATCCATGAAGCGGCTGAGAGACTCGCACTCCAGCTGATGGTGAACGATCGGATATTCGAGTACCCAATCTCGCATCCATCACGTAGTCCGCACTCCATTGGCTCCTAGACAGGCTGTTAGGGCAGGTTCTTCAATCTTGGTGCGAGTAGGAGGAAAAGTATTACACTAACTTGAATATGGAGCGGATTCTGGTGCGGGTTTCCGTCGCCGATCACGACTGTCCTTGAACTCCAGACACCGCATGCACCCTGGCGTTTGTCGATAGCGGAATCAGTGACAACGAGTGATGTGGTGTTTTGGGCGTTGAAGGGGGGAGGGCTTGTCCAAGTGGTGTTGTTCGCAGGATTCTCCAATCCCCTCATAACCTCGAAGAGCTCAACGGGGCTGCCAGCAAAACAATCTTGGATATCTCTCTTGCTCAAGCCCCGCAGTTGCAAAGACTCGGGAATCGAAACATCGCAGCTGATCGCAAGTTCGCTGGGGCTGGCGATACGACCACAGATGATGCCCCCCGACACGTCCGGGTCGTCATGGATGGTGTAAGTTTGCGTGCCGATGCTCAAAGTACCGGCACCGTATTCGTCGACGGTAAAGAGGATGGGACTGCTTTCGAAAGAGCCAGATGTGAGGGAACGGGAGCATGCCTGGGCCAATACCTCCGACTTGCTCTCGTTCCAGACGTCGATGGCGGCACCAGACGTGACTTTGTTGACCCGAAGAACGACGTTTACAGTCTGAGTCCGTTGCAGGAATGGAGTTGCAAACGCAACCGGGAGAAGCGCGAACGCGGTGGTCAAGCGGTTCATGGCGTACCTGAGCAATGAGTTGAGTGTGTTGGAGGCTGGAAGGAAAGAATGAGGAGTGGTGATGGATAAATACCCTTTCCCTAGCAACGGGAACACTTTGGCCCTTTTTATCACACTTTCCGTGGCCCGTCTCTTGTGTTTCCTAGACATCTGGCCCTCAATTTTGGGTGTCATGCAACGTTGACCCTCGCCGAATTCATGTTGCCAAATGATGCTTCCGTGTAGCGGCCATTCGTCATGATTTCTTGCCGCCGCGGGGCGACATCTCTTGGCAGAGGTGTTGGTTGAAGTTTCCAAATGCCTCTTAGGGTGGTTGGTTTGACGTTGTTCTTGCTGGTCGAAGCAGCAGGATCCTTGGACCTTGAGCCGGAGATAGATAGGTATTGCAAGTCCTCCGCAGATCAGGAGTTCATCCCCAAACGCGACCGAAAGGTTTTTGCCCATGCGGCCTCTAGACGTGCAGGCACCGGAGTCGCGGACATGAATACCTATCTTGAAAGACGCCATGTCTATGCGGAGCTGGATATCTCCCCTATCCTCCCCCCACCCCCCCCACCTGGAGGACTTTAGGTTTGCCATGATTGGGCCATGGCTTCATGGTTTGAAACCCGGATAGTGACATGTTGATGTCATTGTTCGATGTTGAACAGCACGAAATCACGTATGCCGTGCTGGGTACGTTTTGAGCTCTGGCATCTCGGCTGTACAAACTCTACGAAGAGGGAGTGGCTCCCCTGGCTCATGTTGTCACCACGGGGGGTGGTAATGAACAAAGGCAACACAAGGTTGCTCAGATCGTTGAAGCAAAGCTCACAGTGTTTGTTTCGGTAGCCAATCCATTTCCAGGTGTCCTCGCGTGATCACCACGGCCCACTTCGGCCTCCTCTCGGTGCTGTTGGTTCACTCTCTCGCCTTCATTGGCCACACCGCCCCGGATGAGTACTCGCCAAAAGCGGTTTGTGGGACGAGTCAGTGCCGGCCATACCTCGTCTATCTGCGTTCTTGGCAACCCGTTCAAGCGTCAATCGATGAACAATCTGCGGGAAACAACACGGTGAGCGGCGCCAACCGCTTGGGCCTTGGCTTGCCTTTTTAACACCTCTTTCCCCCGAGTTTATCTTGTTCGTGCTCCCACTCCGCCCCTCGACCTCCTCTCCTCCTTCTTCCACCTACCTTTTAGTTGGCGGCATCAACTCATTCTCATTTCTCAAGTTGGGGGGTTGAGATTCCCTCGCTGAACCGGCCCGTCACCTCCAGCATTCGCTTCTCTCGCTTGCTTTCCGAGATTCCCCAGACCAACCCCGTTAGGACCTAACTATCGTCCCGCTCCTGATCATCCTGCTCACAAAGCTGCCTGCCATCACACCAGCGATCACACCGCCACACAATTGGTAGCACAAATCCACCAACATGACGACCAACGCAGCAAGCACAACGTGCCCTCCGTACACCCAGGTGCCGGACATCCAAAACCTCCCCATCCCCCAGGATATCAACGTCATGGTGACGCCCGGCAACGACACCTCGTACCGGCCAATGGAGATCTGCTGCGAGCCCAGCAGGGTCCAGATCGTCGATGGCTGCTACCTGTGGTGCGAGCTGCCGGAGCGCTACTTCAACGGGACCGACAAGGAGGGCGCCAGAACCTCGAGCTCGTCGTGTATGAATCTTAATACGCGGGAGAGCGGCGACCGCAGGATCAAGGGCTGGCAGATAAACGGGGCTGGCGCGAGGCTGACCGTGGGCTCGGCGAAGCAGATTGGGCTTTGGGTGCTGGCTTTGTCGGGGTTGGTGCATGTTATGTGATGTATGTACCTAATTAGACGGGCGGGAGTGGTGGGATGACTGGAAGTTTTGCGGGCTCTCGACGGGAGTCTCGACGGTTGCCTTTCTTACCTCCGTTACCTTTTTTGGCTCTTACTGTCAGGACATACTCAGGGAGGAACTTAAGAGTGTGATGACATTATTGATTAAACCCTGAACCTCCTAAAACCTCTACCTCAATGTGCAGTGAAGAACCTGTCCTGGACTCCCGAGGGTGTTTACCTACCTATGTGTGGTATAACTAGCGACTGGAACAAAGATATGTTAATAGTAGGCTTCTGAGCTTGTAGCGAACTGTAGTTATGATTAGGTTACCTATATAATTCCCCCGGGTGATGAGTACGTGCTTGCCAGCCTTCCTGATTGGGCCCGTCTTTTGACAAGCCCGGGTTCCTGACGGCTACGATGGAACGCTGTCCTGATCCACCCCGGAAAAGCGCGACTGTCGTTGTACTGTTATAGTGAGTTGAGAAGTATCTTAGGAGTATGAAGAATTGGCGAAAATGTAAAAAGGAAGAAAGCTCTCGGGTTTGGGGCGCTGGCTCGTGCTTGTTCCTTGTTCAGTCATGAATTGTGCAAAAGGCAAGATTTTGGCATTGAAAGTGGTAGTATTCGTAAATTTGATGGCTAAGCACACAGTGCGGAGTGTATGTCTCGGAGTTTGGGTTGCATCATCCAAGCTTCTCCAGCTCTCAACTAGCCACGACAAACGAGAAATTCCGGGTTAGGATTCTTGACGCAACTTCGAGAATCCACCCGTTGTCAACAACTCGGGATTTTCGCAAACGGAGAATCGAAAACAACCGGCGATCCGACTCTTGGCAGCTGTCACAACAATCCCGCCGCGTCTACACTAGGTACGCCCATCGACGTCAGCGGCACCACGAGTTCATCCAATCTCGAAACCGAACCACCACCACTACCAAGTACTACAATCACAAACTCAACACTCGCGCCTGTCGCTTCGCTCAAGACACAACTGCCCAAATTCGATGGCCTCCCAGTGAGTAGAGTGGTCGAAAACGACCCGGTCGCAAGACTACCGCGGCTCCGGCTCCTTTGCGACCTTTCTGATCATCGGCCGTACGTTCCCCCCTTTCCCTCCCCCCATCCCCCCAACCAAACCAATCCAACCCAACCCCCCACTAACCCTCCCCCCCAAAACCACAGCGGTCTGTTTCGCCTTCCCGCATCCTATTAGCCACCTTCCCCTTATACTTCCCCGTCCTTTGGACTTTGGTGGCCCACCCCGGCTCCAACACTCTGACATGGAAACGAACTCCCAGT